TGTTATAGTTTGGACTTAGGACCAATTTTTTTAACAGTACTATTGAACGAATAGTAAGGGCAATAACAAATATATAAGAACGTTATATATATCTAGGAGAATTAAACGATTATTGCTTGTTCTTTTTTGTATTATACAATGTGCTACATATTTTTATAAATCAACCAAACATATAAATTTAGATACCAAGATACTGGTCCTTTATATATGAACTATGGGTTGATAGTTTCTTATTTGAGGTTCTGTAACGACTGTCACCGTAGATACATTTCTCCTTAATTAGCTATTTAATGTTTCATGAATGTTTCATTTTGTTACATAGTATTCAACAATCATGTGGGATTTATCAACAAACCCTAAGTCCTATAATTCCAAACTAGAACTTTTCTTGACAATCATCACAAAACCCTAACAATATTTTTCAACCCTAATCGTTTTTTACAATCATAATATCAAGGTTGATCTACAACACCTTCCTCTCCCAAAGGTTCTGATAAATTTCTGAAGTTTGATAGCAGTGAATTGCGACGATCAGTCGGAAGTTTGTTAAATTCATCTAAGGTGTACTCACATATCAACTCTGGATTAACATCTTGCATCTTGCAGTAGTAGGTTTGTGACTCAATGTCATAACCAGTCACAGCGATGATCTCTGAAAGTCTCATTATTCTTTCTGTGGCGGTAGCTGGTAAATCCTTAGGATAACGTCTTTTGTCATTCACAAACCTTTTGATATTTTTTACGTTAATCACCCTATTCTTTTTAAATGAAGAAGGCAAATCGACTTCGACTGTATTATTATCAAAAACCTTCACAATTCTAAACGGTCCTATGAAAATAGGTTGGACTTTTAAATACCTTCCTCCCCTAAAATAGATGTCTCTATCTAATAAGACGTATTCGCCGACCTTAAAAGTAAGAGAGCTTCTATGAGGATTTTCCTGAGTTTCCATCATTTCTTGCCGTTCTTGTAGGTAATCACGGGTACGTAAAGTAATGGCTTGAAGTTTTTTTGTTAGAGTAACTGCACTATCATTTCTGGCTGAAGAGTCATTACCAACATCCATAAGAGGTTCATTCGGAATAAAACCAATATCAATTTCAAAAGGGGCAGCACCAATAGCAGATTGAGGAGTTGAATTGTAGACGAATTCGAGGTGTGGTAAGAAAAAATCCCATACAGTGTGATCATTGTGACAAAAGGTACGTAATAATCTATTGAGTGTTTTATTAACACTTTCTGTTTGACCATCTGTTTGGGGGTGATTCGTGGTGGATTTAAGTAGCTTGATGTGTAACCGGTCAGTGAGTTCCTTATAATAACCACTTGCGAACCTAATATCTCTATCAGATACAATCGTTTTGGGAAAACCATGGTAACAGAAGACATAGCGAAAAAGAGCACGGACAACACCGGTAGAACCATAACATTTTTGCATAGCGATAAAATGTGCACGTTTGGAGAATCTATCGACAACAACCATAATCATATCATTACCTTGTTTAGATGTTGGAATACCTGTAACAAAGTCAATTGAAATATCAATCCAACGGCCTGATGGAACATCTAAAGGGCGTAACTTACCGTTAATTTTTGGACGATACCGTTTCATTAGTTGGCATTGTAAACATCCTTGAACAAAACTCTTAATTTCTTTCGACATGGAAGGCCAGTAGTAGTGTGGAGCAAGTTTATTAATAGTAGTGGTTTCACCGAAATGACCACCTTGTAAAAAACTATCATGATATAACTGTAGCAGTGTAAATCGTTCTTTGGATGGAACACAAATTCGAGAATCATAGTATAGAATGTTACTATCAAATTTATAGCGTTCTTGAGCTTTGGCCGAAAACTTCATGCGTTTAAGATATTTCTTATAAAGTGAATCATCAGAGGCTGAAATATTGACCTTATCAACAACGCCTAGGGAAACTAAAATGGCAGCAGACCATGGATCTTCGAGTAATGATTCATACCAATCTTGTGGATTAATCGAGGACAACGTGGTTAGTGGATAAACATTAATAGCAGAATCGTCTTGAGGGCGACTTAAAGCATCGGCAACAGCATTGTTTTTTCCTTTAATATGTTCAATATCAAAATCGAATTCTTCTAAGTACTGTAGCCATCTAGATAGACGCTGAGAAGGTTCCTTTTTGCTTCGGTAGGATAGTAGAGAGCTGTGATCGGTCCGCAGTAAGAATCGATGTCCATGTAAATAGTATCTGAAGTATTTTAATGACTCAACTATAGCTAATAATTCAAGTTCACCAATATGATAACGACTTTGAGTATCGGAAATAGTTTTCGAAAAATAACCAATGACACCTAATAATTTACCGTTAGCTGATAAACGTTCTAGAACTCCACCTATAGCAGCATAACTTGCGTCTGTGGTAAGCCTGTAATTATCACCTGGGACAAACGGAACGAGAACAGGAGCTGAGGTGAGACAAGCTTTCAATTTGATCGTGGTATCTTCTTGAGCTTTCGACCACGGACATTTCTTAGAAATAAAATCGAAAAGAGGTTTGGCCAGCTTACTGCAATGTGGAATAAATTTTCGATAATAATTGATCATTCCCATAAATGATTGAGCACTCTTAATAGTAGTAGGCATAGGAAGTTCTTGGATAGCCTTAACTTTGTCTTGTTGAACAGCAAAACCAGCAGTGGATAATGTATGACCTAAAAATTGTACCTCAGATTGGGAAAAATAACATTTGTTTTTCTTGCAGACTAAACCCTCTTGCCGTAATCTTGTTAAAACTTGTCTAAGATCGTGGATATGACTTTCATAATCTTTACTAGCAATTAAAATATCATCCAAGTAAACGAAAACATGTGGAATATCACCAAGTATGCGTTGCATGTATCTAGCAAATGTTGCTGGGGCGTTACATAAACCAAATGGCATAACCTTGTAATGATAATGACCGAAGGGAGTAGTAAACCCAGTTAGTTCTTCAGAGTCTGCCGCTAGTGGAATCTGATGATAGCCTGAATGTAGATCAAGTGTAGAGAATATGGAACAGTCACCTATTTTTGTCATTAAATCATCAATTCGTGGTAATGGATAGGGGTCTTTAATGGTAAGATCATTTAATTGTCTAAAATCTACAACCAGTCTATAGGAACCATCTTTTTTCTTTACTAATAATACTGGTGATGAGACTGGACTTTTACTCTCGACAATGAACCCTTTATCAAGTAATTCTTGAATTATTTTTTTGCATTCTTTTTCTAGTACCGGGGTCATGCGATAGGGTGGTAATCGAGGAGGACGACTATTAGGCTTTAATTCGATCGTATGGTTATAAGTATGAGTACCTGACTGTGGCGGTAATTCATTGGTAACAGTGTCTTTAAATTCTTGCTGAAGTTCTATAGGAAGTTCATGGTGATGGGGGTTGATTGGATTTTCATTCTTGGATAATTGTACCAAAAAATTTCTTCTACGTCTGTGTCAAAAATTTGATCTATAGCACCTATGGTAATGTCAGTTGTAGTATTGAAATTAGTGATATTATTAGTTGTAGAAAGTAGTTCTGGATAATGTTCGATGATAGGATTGCCAACAATGACTTGATTGTGTAATTCTGGAGTGACGTAAGCGTTGAATTCGTATGATGTCTTATTGTCTAAAAGTTTACATTGAACGGCCTTGGTAGTAGTAGAGGTTCGATCTGCGATAGCACCTTTCCATATGAATGGTGGGACAGTGTACGGTTTCCATCCGTTTTTGGCAACTAAATCTTCACTAACCAGTGAAGTAGGACTTCCTGTATCAAACAGTACAGGGACCTTTATTTTGTTAACGATACATGGACGTTCGTGTCGAGTACCTACTAATGGCTTGGTGGTGGTTATAATAGTAGTGACTTCTGGTATTGTAGTAGTATCGATGTATTTTGTTTTTGTATACTCGTCTGGGTGTTTTAATTGGGTGTGTGACCCAGCACTTTTCTCGAAAAAAAATTTATTTTTTCTTGATTTATTTGTGTCTTGGGAGTTTGATAAAGAGGATAAAGAAGAAGGAAAGAAATGGGAATGAGAAGTAACGGTATTTTTAGCGAGAACTCGCATGTGGGCAAGTGCTGGATTGATGTCCTGGTTTGCGACATTTGAAGCATAGTTTATATTCCAAGCACAAACGACGAAGGTCCTCTTTATCACGTTTATTGGAAGAAGTGGTATCAGCTGAGTTCTGGGATCTTCCTCTCCTGAAAGATGTAATGTTAGTAGAATGCGTAGAATAACCTCTACGGTAACGGTTGTTAGAATGAATAGCCATAATAGTATCACCGTCACTATCTAATTGGTAGGAACCAGAATTAGGTGAGACGTCACCTGAGTAATTAATCGTAATTGGATCTAGTAAGCAGTGCTCACATTTGCGAGCAAGTTCAGTGGCTTTATGAAATGTTGTCGGAGACTGTAAGACGACAGCCTTTCTAGTGTCGGGTTTTAACCCTTGAATAAAATAACTTATGAGTATCTGTTCGCTCATGGCACCCTCGGGTAACAGGTTTTTGTACTGGTAAAACTCTTTGATGTATCCGTCGATGTTATTATGTTGTTTTAATGAACAAATTTTACGACTGATGTCGTACACATCTAGTTGTGCACCAAAGGAGGCAGTGAATTGAGAGACCAGGGTGGAGTAGGAAATGGAATGTAGATCATGATCAGCAGAGAAGTTAAGGAACCATTGTGTAGCTTTACCTCCAATATTGTCAGCAAAGATGCAAATTTTACGGAAGTCATCAGTAATATGATGAAGACCAAATTTTAAATCTAAGGATAACAAAAATTCACGTAAGTTAAAGACTGAGCGAGTTGAACCTGTGAAAGGTTGAGCGACCTTTATGGCTTGGACGAGGACAGGATTGGTTGGGAATTCGGACATGATGGACAGATATTTTGGCGACGCTACCAGT